CCTGTGAGCAATGCGGCTCTTGAGTCGGGTGCAACCGCAACAAACAAAATATGAACAGAGAACATCTTAAAGCGACGACGCGCAACAGAAACATCCTGGATAAACCAGCAAATCGGACCAAGCCGGTCACTCGGACTCAGTTCAGATCCCACGCGCACGCACGCACACACACACACACGCGCACACACACACACGCACACACACACACGCGCACACACACGCGCGCACACACACGCGCACACACACACGCGCACACACACGCGCACACACACGCGCGCACACACACGCGCGCACACACACGCGCACACACACACACGCACACACACACGCACACGCACGCACGCGCACACACACACGCGCACACACACACACGCACACACACGCGCACACACACGCGCACACACACGCACGCACACGCACGCACGCACACACACACACGCATGCACACGCGCACACACACGCGCGCGCATGCCAATGAATGCGTGATGCTTGCTACAGCATGCACCGAGGCTCAAAACAGTAATCGTGAAGATGATGATGATGAAGACACACCGTTGAAGATTAATGGTAATGATTTGTTTTTGATACAGTGACGTCCTAAACGTCAGGACGTCTCAGCGTGCACATATATATCTCACATTCCATCTCAAACAATTTGAAAGGACACCCCCAGCAGCAGTTGCCCTCTGCGCACGAGGTGACTCAGATCCCTCGCCTGCGAATGGACATTAGACTGCCAGTAGGGGGGTTGATGATTGCGATGTAGAATCCCAAGTGAGAAATTTGCGTGTAATTTTCCAATTAGGTCTCCTCTTCTCGCGAATGACGTCAGGGGACCTTGAACGTCGTGCACGAGTCACATCACTCGTTATTACACCCACATCAACATTTCGGGTTGTCCGCTGGAATGGAACCGTGAACCTCTGCAACAACAAGGGGCAAACGCGATGAAGACGACACGTCGCAACATTCACGACGAGAGATGAGCACGATCAATGATGATCGATATGACGATCCTGACGCTGCTATTGCACCCGCTGATGATTTGGCCGGCGCACGTCAACCCTCGTCCCGTGGTGATCCACTAACCCCTAGCTCTCTCAAGCGCGTGTGCGCACGCGTCAAATAAAGGCTGAAGGAGGCTCAGAACAGGTGCCACTGATGTGCACTGTCGCCCAACATCAAATGTGCATCGTCGGGCTATTCCAGGGACTATTGCATCACAGATCTGTGCATTTGCCCTCGAAGATCAAAGACAGGGGGATACAGGCTACCGAGACAGCACACGTGGACGCGGAAGGCCGATAATGTGTTGCAAGTTAAACCGCAGACTGGCTGCTTACCCTGGCTGCCTTCCCTTGAAGCGATCATTGAGATTCATGATAAGGATCACTTACAGACATTTGCTAATTCACTGCTGGATGAAGGACTTCGTGTATAGCATGAAGGTTGTTTGATCATACTTCAACAAACTGGTCAGTGCGCGTTGATGAAGGGGGGTGGGTGGTCAGGACTGGTGCAGATAGCACTCGCTGCTGACTGATGCGAGTCGTCGGGGGGGGGGGGGGGATTTAACTTGCTGGATGTTTAAGGTCACGCTTCTCTCCTCCTCCTCCCACCCACTCCCGAGACTCGTGTAAATAGCCTATTGTGTCACATTGGGAATCGGAGTACGTATCAGGGATAAATTTTGGATTTGTAAAAATCGGACTTTCCGATATTTATGGACAATATTGCATCTTTTTCGGACTTTGGAATCATTTTTATTTTACAATAATTTTTGGATTGTCCTAGTTTCAGATCTAAGAGGATACACGTGCATGGCAACTGTGTGTATGTGTCTGTATACACCCCATCTCAGCATGTGGTGGGGAGCGGTGGCGCAGTGGTTAGCGCGCTGCACCACGAACCCGGCGAACCGAGTTGGATTCCCACTCACGGCCAACACCAGTGACGATTATGTGCCTCTTCTGGGTCGATTCAGCCTGAAATGAGTACCTGGTGTGTCGTGTAAACCTCGCTTCTGGGGAGACAAAGGCGGCCCGGAGTGGTGTGCTGGCCACCCACCCCCTCATGTGTCGTCCCAGCCGTCCTAGGTGCTCGCTAACAGCCCTTGCCCTAACAGTCTGTTTAACGCTGTATGGGGTATCTTTGACTTTCGTCTATATGTGGGGAGCGGTGGTGCAGTGGTTTGTGCGCTGAGCTACGAACCCGGCGACCCGAGTTCGAGTCTCGCTCGCGGCCAAGGCCAGTGGCGACTCAGCGTCAAGTGAGTATCTGGTGCAGTGTGTCAAACATTGCCACTCGGGCACGCGTCGACAAACAAAATAACAAGAGCCATGTTTTTCTAGTTTGGTATAAACAAACAACCCCCCCCCTCCCATCAATATGTCAAGAGCCACAATGCACGCGGTGAAAGGTGCTTACTCGCTAACAGCACCATTCTCAGTTTCTCCTACATCGACTCAACATTCGCTGCACGGTTTGCGCATATACGCCTACAGTCTGCTTGGGAGGCACGGGTAGGTGAATCACGTGGAGATGAATGAAACTTGCAAACCTGTCGGGATGCAAGGTGGCCAGGGAAAGACAGTACAGCAAGGGGAGTCTTTAAACTGCGTGGGAATTTGAGTGTTATCGCTTCCAAGCATGGGCTTTGTCTGGTGTGTCACCATCATGGGTGCCACTATTAAACACGAGTCTTAGGACTCGCTGTGATTTCTTTTGGAGGGCGGCCTCTTCTGCATAAACTTGATCTAAATCACAACCATCAGCAACAAAGGCAATATCAACAGCAGCAGGTGAACAGCAACATCATCTCCAAAATCACCCATTTATATCATGAGCCTCCATTGGCATTGAGATTAGAAGAGCAAAACCCTGAAAAATATTTTCTGTACAAATGCACAAAATTGAGTTGAATGGAGTCTCCAAGCATGCGCGTGAACGCATGCAGAATGAGCCTCTAGGCCCGCAAGCCACACCTCCAAATGTCCACTGCCACCATCTGCTTGTTTGCTTGAAGTTTGCATATTTGTGCCCTAAATCCGACCAATTTGCTCCATTCCACAAACGTGGCAGCATGGTGTTGTGTATTTGATTGGAATCAGCAAGATAATAAATACCAAATTTATTTTTTTTCTTCCAATTTAACGTGAAATCAACCATCATTCCTGCCAGAAATATTGTGGAATGATGTACAAATGCATGAACCTGACCCCCTGTTTTTTTAAGCCATTTTTTTACTCAAGAGTTAATCAAAGTATATCATCACTTCCCACCCCCACGGTACAAGAGGACGCGCTGCAGTCTGTATGCATATTCAATCACCGTTTAAGCACAACGATGTGCAATGTCTCATTGTCCTTGTGATTTTACTCAAAAGACTGAATATTTTACAGCGAATAATAATACAAAATCCACTTGCAGTCATACCGAGCCCATCCTTACTGACGGCGCTCAGAGCATGAGCACACCGCAAAGTGTGGAAAAGCTCAGTACGAATACCAAAAAAGTCGTCCAACATACTAAGTTAACCAACAACACTAGCATATAGTGATCATCAATTAGCATCGCACTGCAAGTTGATTACTCATCGAGAACATTTTAGTGCCAGCGAATAGCAAAGAATCCCATAATGATGACTTGTGAATATTGCATAACATGGGTGCCTAAGTGCGATATTATGTGGGGGTGGGGGGGAGAACGTAACACAATTCTGTTGGGTTGAAATACCATCCTGTGTGGCTTAAAAAAAGAAACTGGTGTTTTTGAGCAGCTTCACAGAGATGTTGTGTTAGAGATGGGGTTAGCGGTCAAGTTTTTAACCGAGTCAAATGGTTTTGTATCAAGCAACTCTTTGAACTTCAAGGCTCCACAGTGAGAGAAACAGCAATATCTACACAGGCTGCCTAGCAGCATGTCACCTACAACTGTGAAATCGGAGGTGGAGTTTGCCACTTCCTAAAACAACGCGCCAACAGCTAACGCCTACACGGCTGCCTTTTCCTGGCAGGTTGAAAACCAGCGAGTGTTTACTCCAGGCTGAAACAGCAAATACAGCAATGTGCTTTTAGCAGATTTTTGTCTACTGCCAACACATCAAAAAGTAACATTGATGCCACAGGGAGCCGCATTTCCAGAACACAATCTCACTCTCGACACAGCACACGAGCACCTGCTAATTACAACCTTTCCACATTATTTAAACATTAAAATAAAAATACATTTATTTCTAACATGACGAGTTGTCAAGCCAAAATTATACGTGCACGTGAATCACGTTGAGACAGTCATTCTGTTAGGAAAGGTAAAAATACACATCCCTTGGCCTAACAGTATTGATTGCTGTCGTCATAAGGGACTACTATTCAAACGTTATTACAGATTTCCTGAAACTGACAAGAATGGGCATAAATGAAGAAAATTACTCGAATAACATAACATATGCACGCATATTATACTGTATTTAATTGAAGCATGGGGGTGCAGACTGAGTTTTTGACATTTCTGAATGCCACTTATGATGGAATGCTTAAACTTTAGGTATATATGATGATGGCAATGGCATCAGTGAACATTGATTTTCTTTAAATAGGCTGTGCAAGCCCGATCCAAAAGGGAACAGGTTTTTACATCCAAATGTATCATGGTCTGTACATTTAAACCAACTCATAATATTTTGGCATAAGACATCGGCACTCTATGGCCTACTCATGCATAAAATTTAATCAAGCCCTTAATGTCCAATATACCAGTACTGTACAGCAGAAATTACACCTTGGTAATGGCCATCATCGCTGAGCAGTTTTGGGATTTGAAATGCCTCTACATACCAACCACCTTCACAATAATCCTTACATTTACGTGTCAATCCATCAGGATGCTGCTGCCTCCATTGTGTTGACGTGCGCTCATTTGTGACACGGAGGCACACATTGCTCTCATAAAGGGGGAAAAAAGAGACAACGCTGAACGCACAATTTAGGAACGTTTTTTTTTAATATATATACAACAGACAATCATTTTCTAATGTGCTTGTAACAGCCGTTTACAATATATGCATTATGCAGTACGTAAAAGTTTAGTTTATGATGTTAAACACAGATACATTGCACTCAAAAGTGAATTACCTTGTTCGGTCTTAAAAGTAGCCAATCGGGAGATACAGCACGTGACCAGAAAAAATGCTCTCGTAACAATAAATACTTCAGAAAGCAAAATGTGTTCTCCTCCTGTTGGAAAGGAGGTGATGGTGACATTGAGAGGACGTAACCTAGCAGTGGAAACAGACACGTGACTGAGCTTCCCAGTGATCACGTAGTGTTATATATTCGTCATAATGGCCGTATGCAAAAACGGATTTAAAGCTCTGCAGGGCTGAGGCAAAGGAACCCACGAGCCCATCCCTGCCAGCCAACATTCGTGTGGCAGGTTTCACAGAACATGCAGACTTTCCGTGAGAAAACAAGTGGCCTCCACAGTCAAGCGGCCGACAAGCAAATACTGACACGTGGCGTAAAACCACACACTGGTGTACCGAACAGCAGCTGCTACCTCGCCGCACGCTGGCGCCTCTGAGGGCCCGATGCGACGTGCGGGTGTGAGAATGCACTGACAACTTTTTATGAACATTTGCAACATGACCGAGTCTGCACCCTCCTCTGCAACGGCTGCAGTACTGGACAATCGCATTATGCAATGTTTGCAAATGCCAATGGGAATGTCAAATTTGGCATTATACTTAGACGATCCAAGCCAAAATAAACTAATTGGGAATGTCAAAAGAACAGGCCCGGCAAAGGAACGCTTTGTCATCCTGAAGGTGATAAATTATTCGCGCTAAATTAAATTGTGGTTTGTAATTGCATTGTGGTAAATACATTTTAATACAATTTCACATACGCGTTATATTTAATATTAATTTGCTATTAATAAAAGTTCACGAGAGTTTATCATCGTCCTGCTTATCATTGCCGTTCACAGAATCAAAACAAGTTGTATTTGGCCAACTGAGTGCAACTTGGATCGTGAAGGTTTTTCTAATGATTCACACACATCACAGCACAAACTTGATCATGTGAACCACGCGTATACCCTTACAGCTAAGTCCGCATATATTAAAAAATATAGTTAAATCAGTGGCTGCCCCTTGCAGGAGCTTCCAATTCACCACTTTCGTAAAACCTCCTTGGGATGTGGGAACCATCTGCAGAGAGAGGTTTATTCAAGGATTCCTGTGAACGTCTTGGCCACCTGTGCCGCTGCACGAGACCAAACGAGATCAACAGAAATCACGCGAAACAGATGCTCACGTCCCAAATGCCACGGAAGTTAATGCTAATAGACAGATTACATCGTCAGATGGATTTACACTTGCATTATACTTTACAATCTTCACGTTTTATTTCACTAAAACATCTTGTGCAATTCCCACTGCGTCAAAAAGACTTTCAAAAAGAACACATTACTCACAAATGTACAGCTTGTGCAACAACGTCTGCAATACATCATTCAATCCCTACCATCCGCATTTCTGCCCATTAATCGTTCGCATTCATCATTCACCACTTGAATCAGGATTCCAGTCCCAAAGCGTGTGCTTATTTTTGGTTAGTCAGTCAGTCCTAGACTGATGGGGATTTTATTTTATACGTATATATATTTCAAATTTCAGCGTGATGTTTTACAATCCACTTAAACGCTTCACGCAAAACATCCAGAGCCAATTTTCTATTCCCGCTCTAAAATGTCATTTACAGCAATTTTTTTTTTTTTTGCTATCCAAATCATCCCTTAAGAGTCAATAATGATAAATAAATACGTAAAACAATTTGAACACCAAACGGACCGCACAACAAGCGTCTGCAATTTCACATTTACACGTTTGCACACAAACCGCAGGTGCTGTCGTCTCAGATGAACCACTCGCGAGGGCTCTCGTCGGTACGCACAGGCGGCGGCGGCGGTGGTGGCGGCGGCGGTGGCAAGGGGCTGATGGCGTCCGCTTTTCCCCCCGCGTCGGAGCCCTTCACTTCGTGCGTGTGGTACGTGCCCTTGTGCCGCAGCACGTAGCGCGTGATGAGCACCAGCACGGCCAGGATGACAAAGGACGACGCTGCGATCGCTCCTGCTCGCAGCAAAGCAGCGGGGACGGGGAGGCGTTTAATGCGCTCCGCAAGTGTTTAGCGCGCAACGTGCAGACAATTAGCGCGAACAGCTCAAGGCAGCAGGAGTTAGGGATTATCTGCAGTTTTTAAGGACTACTTAATTCGCTTTCGAGGCTACTCATGTTTTCTATGGAATGTAGAATTCCACTTAGGTTTGGTGAACGAAATAAAACTGCCTGGAAGCTTCCTCTGCCTGGGCCACCCCCAATGCACAGAGTGAGAGCACGGCCAGTCAGAGACGGCTAGTTTTCACAAGTAAAATACACAGACTCCACACACGAAACAAAAAACTAAAATCCCTGTATAACCACGTAGACTGCTGAAGCGAGTGCTGTTGGCGAGCAACTATGAAGGCCTGCATACCGCATGAGGGAATGGTGTGGCCAGCACCACGCATGGTCATCTTTGGGTCCACAATGCTGATGTTTCTACACCGTCGCCAGAATCGTAGCATACCGCATGAGGGAATGGTGTGGCCAGCACCACGCATGGTCATCTTTGGGTCCACAATGCTGATGTTTCTACACCGTCGCCAGAATCGTAGCATACCGCATGAGGGAATGGTGTGGCCAGCACCATGCATGGTCATCTTTGGGTCCACAATGCTGATGTTTCTACACCGTCGCCAGAATCGTAGCACGGTGCACTAACCACGACATCACCGCTCCCCAGGTCACGCATGCGCGCACACACACGTGAGCATGCTCTACACATCAATACCATGGGGTGAAGCATGCAAGTTTGTGCGAAAAGAGCCTTTAGAAAATGTCGTTGTAGAATACACCTTTCTTGCTCATACAGTATCAGCATTATTACACAATTCATATAAAAGGCCCAATTATACCACTTGTAAACAGGGCCACTGTTAAGCCTGAGACCACCTCCGGTCAGCCAAAAAGCTACATTTGTTCATACAAAGGGTAGTGCTTCTTGGCCAAGGCTGTCCCCCTTTACAAGAAGTCAGCTGGAAAGAAACATAAAATGGAAACCCATTGCGAGTTCCATTAGGTTGCATCGTACATTTTCCTTTGCCGCTTTTAAGTGGTTCGGGGTAAGTTCACAGCTCACCATGCGAACCGAACAGATGCATCAGCAGCCAACACAATAAAACTCGCCACATGTCGCAGTGACATCGCTGCTCTGGGTAATGGCTTGCGTGAGAGTATGCCAGTCTGTTTACAAGTACAAATTCAGATTAGATAATGTAATTATTTCTAGATTTGAAGCTTTCGTGACTGCAAGGATTCATACTCTTTGGGTTTTTTTTTAAACGTGACTTTACCGAAAAAAAAATAAGAGTATTAATATAATTATTCAGCATTTTTCACTGATATCATTCAGCAGGGCTTTGTGAAAGGAAAAACAAATATGCATGGACCTTTTGTAGATTTAACACGTAGGCTTTCGCGACCAATATTATTCATAATCAACGTTTTTGGGTTTAGATCGCGTTATTTATAAATATGTCGTAACCCTCCACCACCCGACACGGTCAATCAGTAAAAAGTGTCACGTTGACTAAAGTAGTGAACTATTTTGTCAACGTGACACTTTTTTACTGATTGGCCGTGTCGGGTGGTGGAGGGTTACGACACATTTATAAATAACGCGATCTAGACCCAAAAACATTGATTATGGACCTTTTGTAGAGATATGCGCTTATTAAGAAATGCAAATATTGAATATTTGCACGTACTGTATAAAATATATAAAATGTTACATCACTTATCCCCATCGATGTATAGATGTAAATTGTATTTACTATGTTTAATTTCAATATACAAAATGTAATCAACAATGTTTAGGAAATACAGCAGGAATCTGTGGCCCTGTGGTCATCTTAAAATGGCCTGTATACGATTGTCCACTGTTAATTATGGATGAAGGCCTCCCCATGCTACGCCAGTCATGGGCATTGTTTGACCATACTTGCTTAGTGCAGCTTGACAGGGGAGACCTCGGACTGATTCAAAAATCACTCGCCACTGACGTGATCCATGTCCAGAAATCGAACTGAGCTTGCCAGGTTCGTAGCGCACTGTGCAAATTTCTGAGCCACTGCTCCACCCAAGAATTTTGTTGATATTTTAGGTTAATAATACTTTACCAAACATAAGCACGATACATTTCCTGAGAAATCTGTATTGTTTAACTCTTCATAAAATGTCGTAACTTTAAGAATAATAAACAACATTTGCTGCTTCATGGTTTTAGCATCTGTGTTTAGCCTCCTTGGAGGAAGACTTCCCTCGCAAAAATGTAGATTTTTGCAAAACTTACCTGACAGAATTTAATTATTTACACCAGTTTTCCCAACGTGGAAAGACGTATATGAATCAATGAAATCAATCAGCTACAAACAAACGCTTAACGTCTGAGAGAATTGCCGGCATTAATAATGAAATTAATGAGTAAACACTATATACTTACATAGCAAAGCGTGAACACTCAAGCCCAAAAATAAATTATTTTGTACTTGTGAAACCACGCGAAAAAAGACAGTGAACGCACCGACGGCTGTTTAACAGATTGGCATCGCGTCGGAGCATGTGCGACAACGTACTTTACGGAACATGCAATATGGATGTCAATTGCTGCAGCAACCAAAAAGCCCGGCAATTAGTGAGCTTAGAGCAAATCTTTAACTGCTTCTACTGCCTCCCCTGCAGGCAATTCTGGAGGTGAGTCCATCAATAATGGAAAAGCTGATCCCAGCAGCAGTTGGATGTACAAGCATTTGGCACCTCGCTGGATTATGCTGCGCGTGCAAACGCGCCGTTGATGTACTGTTTCAATGGGATTTTCCTTCAGGGATTGCATATGTGTGAAACTTACAAGTTCTTGACAATGTGCGGCAGAGATTAAAAGTAAAATCCAAAAGCATATAACCAAAACTTAAAATGTGCACGACTGACAGCGCAGTATCACAACATTATACGGTACGTTCTTCTCATTACTCCCACAAAGTGTTGATGGAAGAAAGCGAATCTTTGTTCTATATTAGTCATGTAAAAATTTGTGAAAATGTAACCATCCACTTTCTCACTTATCTTAAAGCCCCAAAGATTACCCCCCCCCCTCCCTGGACATTTTCAGGCTGTAAATGCATGCTGGTTATTTTTTAATGTTCTGTATTCTATTCGCTTCATTGCTGAGCTTCACTTTATCTTGATTAAATTTTGTCATATTGGTGACCCTGGCCACTCTCACAAACGAGGCTGTCCTGATCTCATGAGTTCTCACCTAGTTAAGCAAAATACACGTGAACCTGAATGATGTCTGAAGTTTAAAAGCATGCACGAGTTGAAGGCTTCTATGAGAATCAGAATATTTAGGAATCCGATGAGCTATAAAGCTCTTCTTTCACAGATTTCCAGTAGTTGAGATGCGTACAGGGATGTCGTCGGTTTGTGGAAAGAAAAATGTGCACAAGCAGGAATGATTACCCTTGAATCGGCACGGTGCAATGTGACTAGCCTCTGTGGACCTTCACAGATTCACGAAACAATTACATGTGGCAGCGGTGTCTCTGCCACTGCTGGGTGAGCTAGGAAATGAACAGCTGCTGACACGTGTCGAGTGGTTGCTAAAACTGCGACCAATCCGGGTGGAGTGAGATACAGGATGCTGCTGCGGGTCGGTACCTCCTATCACAATCGAGTCAGCGCTCAGCGGTGTCGAGACGGGGTCCTCGCTCCACTCCTCCTCCTCCGCTTCTGTCAACACAAAGACAAAGATCCCCCAAATGAATCTTGATTTAAAGCTTTCGTGACAGCAGGAATTCATACTCTTTGGGTCTTTCGGTCAAAGTCACGTGAATAGAAAATAATAGATCACGACGTTTCGAGCTGCTGAGACAAGGTATTATATAGGCATGAGATGGGTGCATCAAGGTAGGTGGGTGGAGCTAGAGATGGTCCAACCACAGGGGCTGGGGCAGTGGACACCCAGCCTGTCAATACAAAGACATCCAACCTCGTAATGAAACTCTGAGAGACAGTTAACATCGGTAGAAAAGATGGAAACATCATAGCAAGTTAAGACTTTACCTGTTCAATAACGTCCTTCCAATGATTGCTCAATGTGTATCCATCTTCTCGGTTGAAGTTGTGTCTATGTTTATATATGTCTGGATGGCTTCATGAACAAATCTTTGTGGTTGATCATTGTTTAAATGCTGTGGGCTCACACGATATTGATTTTTCCAAGACGTAGGTACTCTGCAAACCTACTGGCTATCATCACCCACCTACCTTGATGCACCCATCTCAGGCCTATGTAAGACCTTGTCTCAGCAGTTTTCTCTCTCTTTCTCACCTGAAGACGATTGCTTGTGTTGCGATCGAAACGTCGTGATCTATTATATTATATTTACGTGACTTTACCGAAAGACACAAAGAGTATGAATCCCCCAAATAGCCTTGAACAGACTGTTGGGGCAAGTTTTGTTCGCGAGCTCCTATTAAGGCCCGCACAGCACATGAGGCCAGCGCCATACCTGGCCGTCTTTGTCTCCCCAATGATGATGTGTAAACACTGCACCAGGTACTCATTTAGGGCTGAGTCTACCTAAGGGAGGTCCAAGTTCGGTTCAGATATTTGTCACCGATGTTATCCTTGGCCAGGAATCGAACACAGGTCTCCGGGTTCATAGGTACTGGACATCTGTGAAAAAGAGCTTCATAGCTCATCAGATTCCTCCAATATAAATGTTCTTATTCTGATAGTGCAGCACGCAAACTGATCAATACGTGCACACATAAACCAAGCACACGTACAAAGTATAACGAACGACTCTTTCCCAGTATAGCCAACATAGCGATTCTATCCCTAGAGCTCACAACTCGTGCGGCTGTCACAGCGACCAGCGACAAATCTCGCGACGTTCTGGGATGAGGACGTTATTGGGAGCGATTCCAGGTCGGTGTTAAGAATCCCGAATCCGTTTACGATGCCTCGATGTTTTTCGATATATCCAGGTTCGTTTTGGCAACTTTCCGCGTCAACGAGTTGACGAACGACACCGCCTGCCCACGCGCCTCACCATGCTGGTGCGCCCACGGGTATGGCGTGCTCGGGGAGACCGGAGCGACCGTCTGGGGCACGGCCGCACAGCTGGAAGGGACGAGGCGTCCCGTCACCGTGACGACAAGCGAAGAGTGCGGTCCCGGGCGCAGGGCGGCTTTGAGCGGCGCCCGGCCGTTGTACTGCACTCGGGAGAGGCAGCCGCCGAACCCTCGCCAGTTCAGTCCAGCGACCTCCGGCTCCAGTGGTACCTCGTCTGAGAGAGTGACAGGGCAGGTGGCATGCAGGTGAACTTGCAGACTCACCTGTGAGCTTGACCCAGTAGGTTCAAGGTTAGCCAGATCCCCACCACCAACCCTACCCCCCACCCCCACCCCCAAGCTGAGTTGGCTGTGATCACTGCACCGCGCAGAGGAAGATTAATGACAATCATGTTTTATGCGGCAAACAGTATGAATAATAGGAAGCAAATATTTAACTTGCCTCGATTTACAATGCACATACACCACGTGTTTTCTAATGAATGTGGTGTTTGTACTTTGTGTTGCTCTGATGCAATTACATTAGCGTAATTATGTTTTGCTCTTTACAGCCCGAATGCGACATTGAAATTATTTCTGTGGTTCAAGCATGCATATGCTGAGTCATAATCTTCGGAGGCACATTTATATATTAATCATAATGTACGGAAATAGAGATTCATTGTCGACGAAACAATGCCGCTCTCGAATGAATGGCTCAACGAGGAACGCGGTCTCCCTGATTCTCTTGGCGAGATGTTAACGACCTCGCCTGGTATACAAGTCGTGAGTTCGATCTCAAGCCTGACGCCTGTAGATGTGGAGTTTGCATGTTCTCCCCGTGGTTGCGCAGATTTGTCTCCGGGTCCTCTGGGTTTTCCCTCCACATTTAAAATCAACATGCGTTCAAAGTATTTGGCTGTTATACATTTGCACGTGATAAGCCACTTCGTTGACCTATAATTTGTGGCCAGGTCGCTTCTGAAAAAAGAGCTATATAGCTTAGTAGGCCTGACCGAGTAAAATTTAAAGTTTAGTTTAGTCAAATAATTATGACTAAATCCACATAGCTCTTTATTTTTAAAGGGAATGCTGGACTAAGAACGTATGATTAGAAATTTCAAGTCACGAACAATTTGATAAGATATGAAAATATATGCAAGATATAAATGAGGCAGGGTGCCACTGGGTGGGTAAGCCATGCATTGATAAATGGTGTGCATTACATCGTTTGACAACCGTAATATTACTATATTTCTACAATAGAAAAAACAAATTCTCCCACCAAACTGGAAACGTCACGCTACAGGAGAAACAACAATTCTTTAATTTTACAAATCAGTTTCAAAATGAGATGAGCCAGTGCTGAAACATTTATAACATAATTCTTTAATGCAAAATGACGTTTAAAATTGAAAAAAAGTCAAGGCACATGAAGTACCCCAAGCAAATGATCTGTGGTTAATATCGTTTATACCCATGTGCACATTCCCAGCAATATGAAACTTGCATAACGTATCAAATCATAAACGAATTATTTTATATTTATGTTTTTTACACTCGTATTGGTGGTAAGATGAATACAAGTAATTTCTCAAAGTCTGGTGAAAAACATTTTCAAGCTGTTGTATTGTTAAACGAAGCAGAATGCCTTAACATTGTGTTTCATTTAGGCAAGCTGCAAGGTATTGCTAAAAAAGATGGATCCATTTACGGTAGGTTCATGCAAGTGTGCACTTGGTCTGTATTCATCAAACTGCAATTAACTGGTCATTCGGCAGGTAACGAGCCATTTGATTTGGAGACAGTCCTGTCGTACAGCCGGAGGGGATAGGTTTCTGTCTCGTGAATGGCAAAGCCTCTAATCCTTAACACTGCTATATTTAATAACTCATTGCAAATATGATGGACAAAGTTTGTCACGTGTGTTTGTGTGTATGGTGCAGTGGTTAGCGTGCTGCGCTACGAACCCGGCGACCCGAGTTTGATTCCCACTCAAAGCTAATACTCGTGATAGCGATGATCTGAACCAGTCCTGTGCCTCCCCTAGGTCAACTAAGCTTCAAATGAGTACCCGGTGCGGTGTGTAATCTTCGTCACTAGGGAGACAAAGGCAGCCAGGCGTGGTGCTGACCATCTACCGCCTCATGTGCCGTGCCGGCCTTCATTGGTGCTCGCTAAAACAGCACTTGTCCCAAAAGTCTGTTAAGGCTACACGGGAGATCTTTGTCTTTGCGTGGCGCAGTGATTAAAGACTTTGCGCTATGAACCTGTAGACATGGGTTCAATGGCCCACATCATTGGTGAATATCTGAACTGGTCCTGGTCATCCTCTTGGTGGACTCAGTCTTCACAATATCTTGAAATGTTATATAGGTCATATGTGTCTTTGTATACATATATGCATAGGTTAACTATGCATATATGTATACAATCAGTACCTGGTGCATTGCTTAAACATCAACACTGGGGAGACAAAGGCGTGGTGCTGGCTACCCAGCCCCCTTGCGTGCTATGCCGGCCTTAATAAGCGCTCGCTAACAGCATTTGCCCCAATAGCCTGACAAAGCTACATGGGGATCTTTGTGCATACATAAATGCAAAAATTATTCAGAAAAATCGGAAAATAACCGACTTTAAAAACCAATTGAGTCTGACTTTGTGCGACTAGAAATAATTAAATGTTAATTTAATCCGAGTGAAAATAAATATACAGTATGAGTATTTTAATAATTACACAAATATAACTTTGCAAAAGCAAATTGCTTCAATAATTGATATAGTTGGACAATTACACATAAGCTGTTCGGAAAGCATTCCACGCTGATTTGTCAGAAATTACATTTACAGGAAAATTTACCTGTAAAATTAGTTTTATTACAATTCGTGAAGAAGAAGAAGAAATGAGTCATAAGTCACGATGAATTTGATTCGGTAATATGCCATCTCCAAGACAGCTTGAACACTTGCTAGTTAACCCTCGGTCTGTGCACTCAAAGTGGAAAACGTGCAGTGGCATTCACACTTACACATTCCGACAGATGCAGAGGGAGCTCAGAAACTGCTATCCCACGAGTGTAGCATGACGAATATTGCTACAAATTAGAATCAACAACTGCATAAATATTGCACATCCTGTCATTTACACTCTCTCGCCACACAAAGAGATGAAATAATACTGGTAGGAACCTCCTGGTTACACCAGCCCACAGGGGATTATTGTGTCCGTCCGTCGTGCAGGGAGCGGCTGGGTGGGGAGGGAGGGGCTGGGTGGGGAGGGGCAGGTGGGGAGGGGCTGGGTGGGGAGGGTGGGGCTGGGTGGGGAGGGGAGGGTGGGGAGGGGCTGGGTGGGGAGGGTGGGGCTGGGTGGGGAGGGGAGGGTGGGGAGGGGCTGGGTGGGGGGTGGGGAAGGGTGGGGCTGGGTGGGGAGGGGCTGGTCACCCCGTGGTGCCCTTACAAAACTCAACGTTTAACCTACTCACGCCGGCTTGTGCCCGCCCTCACAGTCGGGCATATTTGCGGAATACACCACGCCGCCGTTGACCCTGGCCATTGACCGAGCAACCCAACGTTGCTACCAGCTCCCTCCGCAGGAATGTGTTTTTGTTTTGCCGAGCTTAATTGGCATCAGCACGAGGCAAGCGGCGATCAGGTTGTAAGCATATGTTTTGTGACTACGAGCACGGTATTGAGCCTTCAAATTTCCCAACAGTTCAATCTATCGAGCTCTATGCAAAACCTCACAACTGGCATGGCAGCTTCGTTATCTCTCGTCTTCTAGGTGGGCAAATGTGACTCTTGAGAATCGTTGGGTAGTGAGGATGGAAAACTCACTTTATGCTTGACCTCATTTCTCACACCCAGCGGAGAGTAGGGGTGCAGTTACCGCCATCTTTTGAAATGTCTGCCCCCCCTGCAGGCTACAATACACCGTAGGTCAATTATTTATTTGCCGCTTTAGCAAATCAGGACCTCGCCGTGGTAGCGCACGTCGTAATCCTGCGCTGCAGCGAGGGTTGTGGGGGATCACACAAATGTTGTGAAACTCCCTTCCCGTGCCCGTCGAGGTGCCAAACCCTGGCTCGCTAGAAAAATGCAATCCAGGTGTACAGCTCAAATGTGGACTCCACCTGTTTCATCCGTATGGGATAGAGTGTTTTTCCCCCTCATATGCGTGGGGCTTCTCCGGGTGGTCCAGTTTCGTCCCACATACAAACGCTCCTTAATTGGCTAATAACACATCTGGTCCAACACCAATGGAGACTAGGCTCTAAGAAAAGTTGTCTCGGGTGTGGACCAATCAACTTGAAGGACAGTGCATATCTTTATCATCATCAGAGTTGTTTCTTTTTGTTTGTATTTTGACTGCTTGTGTTGTGGTTATTGCAAACATGATGCCTTGTATAAAAGTGTCAGTTTTTTGTACCAGTTGAAAGGGTAAAAACCTACTACTATATTTTGCCACTGGTAAAGGAGGTATCATAGTGGATAATAACACCTTAGCATATGGGCAATTGTTGGCAGCGGCTCAACAGGTGTCTGCCTTCCTGCTTGTCTATGGTTCCTCTTGGCTGCTATACATTTCCACGTGATAAGCCACTTCATTGGGTTATCATTTGTGGCCATCGTCGCTTCTTAAAAATAGCTATACAGTTCAGTGCGCCTTACCTAGTAAAAAACATAGTTAATAGCTTCCTCACTCCTCTGAGTCACTTTCTCTTTGTGGGCAATATCCAAGTGCTTTGAGAGTGACTCGGTGAACGAATATTGTGCACGTTAGAAGTTTAAAAAAGAATGTATTATGTTTAAATGGCGAAATTACTGCCTATGATGAACGCGGCTCTGCATTCCTTGTAATCACACAACCTGAACTCAGTTACAGGTTCTGCTCCAAGGCAATCACAATCTTGTACAGCACTTGGACATTGCCCACTTTTCCAAAGCAGCTATCATTTTGAAATCTCCAACTGCTTCTTGATTTCATCCAGATTGAATGCATTTTTAATGCTCACATGCTGCGTCAGCATATCCTTAGTTGCAACGAATTCACCAAATTACTTCAGGGATTCAAAAAGTTTGGAAAAGTGTAAAGCGAATGGTTCAGTCAGGATCAGAGTTAGTTTACCCCTCCACAGCATTATTTTACTCCCGTAATTTACATTTCCTTATCGCCGGTCTACAAAGCAATCTCATGGCAAAGGTGAAAAATACCCTCGCATAAACACTGCTATATCAG